TCGGATCCCGCATACAGACTGGTTCCCGCTCACTGGCTGAGCGAGGCGCGGGAGCAACACCGAGGGTTGCAATCCCGTTGCCGGTCCCGGTTCGGTGCGGGGGCGACACTGAGGGTTGCGATCCGTTGCTGGACACGGAAAAAGACAAAAAAAAAAGTGACGAAAGCTCATTTTCGCTGTAAAGGCGACTGATGGACAGTTCTGCTAAATGTTTCATCATCATCAATTGGTCATTTCTCTTTATTACATTTTTCAAATCCATTTTATAAATTATAGTTTATGTAACATTTTTACTCTAACTCTGAAGTCAATTTTTGGTAACTGCAAAAAGAAGCATAATAAAACACAAGTTTTGTTTTTGCTGCAACTGATTTCACTTTGGGGGAACTGGCTTTTTTTCCCCCTTCTACTTATTCAGGTTATATATACCTATTTTAAAACTTCAGGAAAAATAAAGAAATAAAAAACAAAAGTTCGGCCATAATCCCTTTAAATAGAGAAAAACACAATTAACATCATGGCTTATTCTTTTCCATATTTTTTCTATGCATATTCATTAATTTGCTCATTGTCTATATCTCTTTAATACATCTTGGACATCTTTCCATGTCAGTAAGTTCAAATCTACATAATCACTTTTAACACATATACAGTACTCCATTGAATGGTTATATCATAATTGAAACAAATCACCATTTAAGTTGTTAACAATTTTTCAATCAATAAACAATGCTGTAGTAAACATCATTGGGCACCTGTCTGATAATGCCCTTAAAATAAATTCCTAACGACAAAATTGGATGAAAGAGTTTATGTATTTTTAACTGACAAACTGCTTCCAGAAATATTCTTACCACATAGTCTCAGGAACTAGTTTTCTTTGGTGAGCTGATAACTGAAAAATAACATACCATCTTTCTTTTACTTTTGTTTTTTTAATGACTATTGGGGTTGAACATCCTTTCAATCCCAACTGTCATTTGTTGGCCATATATTTTCTTATTTTTTCAGGGGTCTTTTTTAAAATATGTGAGTCAAGCCTTTTTCATTTGTGTAAGCTCTTTATTGCCATTTGCCTATCATAATTTCCAAATGGTTTTTCTGGTACAGAATTTTTTTTATTGTTATGTAGTCAATTTCATACATTTTTTTCCCCTTTAAGGTTGCTACTTTTGGTGTTATCAATAACAAGGCCATCCCCATTGCAAACTGATAAAAACGTTCACCTGTATTCTCTCCTTTATTTATGGTTTTTTGTTATGTTTCTAATTACTGCTATTCTACTTCTAGGAATCTAACATTGAAAAATAATTTTTAAACTGTGGCAAAGATATTTGTATCACTATCTCTGAAAGAACGACAGGACCCGAGCTGACAGTTCACCGGAGAAGTTCCGTTTTATTCGGGGGAGAAGCACACATTTATATAAAGCCGGGTTCTGGGAGAGGGTGGTTAGTACACGGGGCGGTAGTTGATTGGCCGGGGGCGGGTAATGATTTCTATAGGCTGCACCTTGGCGCCGGCGAGATTGTTAGGACCCGGAAGAGAAAAGCGCCATGTTTTAGGGAGTGCCTCCTTTAGGGTCTTCTATGGGGCCTTACAATCTTCACTGCAATATTATTTAAAATAGCAAAGAAAAGGGCCGGCCCGTGGCTCACTCGGGAGAGTGCGGTGCTGATAACACCAAGGCCACGGGTTCGGATCCTACATAGTGATGGCCGGTTGGCTCACTGGTTGAGTGTGGTGCTGACAACACCAAGCCAAGGGTTGAGATCCCCTTACCTGTCATCTTTTTTAATAATAATAAAAAAAAAATAGCAAAGAAATCAAGGCACCCTAAATGTCAAACAATGAAAAACAGTTAATGTATGGCTACAAAAATATCAGGAAGCCTTACATGCTAATTTCACTCAAAAATTTACGAAATGAGGTTCGAATTAGCATGGACATGTTACTTGATCAAACAACTAGAGCAGCCATAAAGTCTTGGAACAGAATTCCTGAAACAAAATCTAAACTTCAACTTCTTGCTTCCCCTGATGGGTTTTTGATACAAAGATTAGATAAGACTCAGCCACTGTTGACATTATCTGTTGAACAAAATTTAATTACAGATTCGGGGGCTGATGTTACCATAATTGCTAAAAAGGATTGGACTCCATTATGGAAAGTAACTTCTTCACCAGTTATACTTACTGGATTATGTGGGTTCAAAATTCCTTATCAAAGTAAAAATCCTTTGTTGTGTATCGGCCCCAAGAGGACAAACTGCCTCCATTATGCCTTATGTTCCAGATCTACCTCAAACTCTAGGGTGCCGAGACCTCTCTGCTCAATGGGATATTTATATTGGGACATCTCCTTCAAAATTTATCATGGCCACAGCCACACTCCCACCAGTCAAACTACAATGGACCCCTGGTCCTCTGGTTTGGGTGGAACAGAGGCCTCTTAAAGGGGAGAAGTTAAATCAAGCT